ACAAATGGCCAACAGGTTTATGAATGCTCAACATCACTAATCATTAGGGAAATGCAAATTAAAACCACAATGAGTTATCACCTCACATTTGTTAGAATAGCTTTTATCAAAAAGATGAAAGATAGCAAATGTTATTAAGGATGCAGAGAAAAGGAAATCCTTGCATACTGTTGGTGGAGTGTAAATTAGTACAGCCATTATGGAAAACAGTATAGGGGTTCCTCAAAAAGCTAAAAATAGAACCACCATGTGATCTAGCAATCCCACTTCTGGGAATATATCCAAAGAAATGGAAATCATTATGTTGAAAAGAAGTCTGCACTCCCACATTCACTGAAGTATTATTTACAATAGCCAAGATATGGAACCAACCCAAGTGTTCATCAATGCATGAATGGATAAGGAAAATGTGGTATATATACACAATGGAATACTATTCAACCCCAGAAAAGAAAGAAATTCTGTCTTTTGGGACAACATGAATCAATCTAGAGGACTTTACGCTAAGTGAAATAAGGCAGGTTTAGAAAGATAAATACCTCATGATCTCACTCCTACGTGGAATCTGAAAAAAGTTGAATTGACAGAAGTAGAGAGTAGAATCATGATTACCAGAGAGAGGCTGTGGGGTGGGGAGCAAGGGAATGGGGAGTTGCTGGTCAAAAGTTGCAAAGTTTTAGCTAGACAGGAGGAATAAGTTTCAAGAACTATTGTACAGCAGGGTTACTATAGTCAATAATAATTTATATTTCAAAATAACTAAGACAATAAATTTCAAATGTATCACCACAAAAAATGTCAAGGAAGTAAGGCAATGGATATGTTAATTAGCTTGATTTAATCACTCCACATTGTATACATATGTCTAAACATCACATTGTACTCCATAAATGTAATAAAATTATGATTTGTCAATTTAAATTAATGTAAATTTTAAAATAAATGAGAGAAAGATTCTCAAAAAAAGTTTAGTTTGTATGGCTGGAATGATTGTGTTGGTGTTGCAGAAGCCTCAAAGTTAGGAATAGAAAGTACAAAGAATTGTGATATTTTTCCCCCTATTTCTCTCTCTCAAACACACACACACACACATACACACACACACACACACACACACATTTCCCTCCTCCCCAATCCTAACTCTATGAATCCAAACATCATGAGATGAGAAGACAGAAAAGGTGCAGAAGAAAAGAGTAAGGGAGGCAAACAGAGAGAGGCTGTAAAGAATGTTTCGGAGACATTTTCACCCTCTCAGAAAGAGTCAAATAAAATTGAAGACAGTGAGGGAAAAAAACCAAAAACCACAACTCAGTTTCAGTCTCACGTTTCTCCACCCAATTATCGATGTCTTACCCTAAGAGTGTAAGTCCTGCCTCCCACACGGTTCCGGGCTTCCAGAACAATCACATTCAGGCCAGAGTCATGCAGAAGTTTGGCTGCTGCCATACCTGGGAGAAAATACAGTAAGACATCAGGATCGAACACTTTACTGGGACTCCAGACAAGCTCTTCATGCGAACAGCCAATGAAAAGAGTCCGTGTTGGCTCACGCAGGGCCTACTGCTCCATTCAACTGACAGATGGATAGGGGTTCTCAATAGAGGCGTAGAGTCCAAGTCTGCGCAACCAAATGATATTTCTAGAAATAACGTCAGGGATTTCATTGTTGCTAAATGTCTCAAATCTTAAAAACATCTTCAGTCATTATATCAAAACATCTATTTTAACAACTAAATTGTCTGACAACTCAAATGAAAACACAAGGCCACAGTCAAGAGAAGTGTATGAGCTGTAGCAGACAAAAGACCAAGTCCAGCCACTGACTTCATACTCAGGGTAAATCAAAAAAACTGGTACAGAGTGGGTCTTCAAAGCATATGTAAGGACCTGGGATTTACTGTTAAAATTGGACTTTTGGAAGTTAACATAAAGTTTCAAAACCAAGGACCCAAAATTTGACCCCTTATGTGTCCTAATTCCCTGATGTGATCCATCACTGAAGAACGAAACGACTCCATTCATGTACCCATTTAATTATTAATTTAGTCAAAAATACTTATTGAATGTCTATTACATTTTCACTACCATAAATTTAGCTTTTAAAAAACCCACAACTTTATTGAGGTAAATTTACATATAATAAACTTTACCCAGTGTGATGGTTAATTTTAGGTGTCACCTTGACTGGATTGAGGGGTGCCTAGATGGCCGGTGAAGCATTGTGTCTGGGTGTGTCTGTGAGGGTGTTTCCGGAGGAGATTGATATGGGAGTCGTTGGACTGAGAAAAGGAGACACGCTCTCAAAGTGGGTAGGAACCATCCAATCGCCTGGGGCCCGGCTGGGACAAACAGGTAGCAAAGGGGGACTCTCTCTCCCTCCCAGAGTAGAGCAAAATGCTTGTTCTCCTTCTGCCTTTGGACGTCAGACTCCAGGTTCTTCAGCTTTTGGGCCCTGAGACTTGCAGCAGTGGCCTCTTGGGGCTCTCCGGCTTTCAGCCTCAGACTAGGTGCTGTACCCTCAGCTTCCCTGGTTCTGAGGCTTCCAGACTAAGTCAGTTTCTCTGGAGATCCAGCTTGCAGATGGCTCATGATGGGGCTTCTCCACCTCTGTGATGTTGTCAGCCAATTTGCCCTAATAAATTCTTTCCACATATCCTATTGGCTCTGTCCCTCTGGAGAACCCTGACTAGTACACCCATTTTAGGGTAGAGTTCAAGAAGTTTTGACAAAGTCCAAAGCACAGTGTAGAATTTGTGTAAGAAGTTTTTGGTACTAATATATCCTGGATGTAGTATTTGGCCTCAGAGCTCTTAAAATCCTGCATCTTTAAAACGTCTCTTACACAATTTAGCAAGAGTTTTTTCAGAGAATAGAACTTTGGTGCTCTTCCCATAATGAACTGAATTTACTCAGATCCAATTACCTTACTCGTTTGCTTTATGAGACAAAACAAAATCAAGAAAATGCCAAGACACCATCATGCCTTGCAAATAAATAAAAGTTTCTATCTTGTCTTTCAAAAACAACAGTTTTGTAACTTTCATACTCCACTACTGGAAAAAAAAAGATTCCTATAAAAATAGCTAACACTCATATAATATTGAATTCCAAGTGTTTTAAGAATTTTTACAATAACCCAATGACATAAGTTACTGTTGATATTCCCATTTTATGGCTAAGGGAACTAAAGCCCAAAGAGGTGTCCAAGGTCACGTAAGGAGTAGGTGCAAAGCCATTTTCACTACAGCATCCGTATTCACAATCACTACACACCACCACCTTCCCTGGGTCCTCGTGGCCATCTTCTTCATTGATCTCTTTTCCGAATTTTTGCTATAGGGAGAAATTACATTTAAAAATATAGCTTTCACTTTATTTGGATCAACATGTTTTTAACACACACATATCTTGTGGTTTGATAAGAATCCATCTAACATAAAATATGAGCCCATGTTAAAAACCATAATGAAAAGCTAAGGCTTCACTCATAATCTATCAGTGATCTTAAAGGAGGAAACTCATTTTTTAGAGAGGCTGATTTGACATTTCATTATTTGAGTTCATTTATCTTCCCATCCCTGTTCCCAGAGGCAGGGCCAAGGCTTCCAATTGGAGGCAGGGTAATGGTCCCAAAGTCCACAGTTCCCACACAGTGAACACACAAGCATTGCATAACCCTGATTTAGGAACACAGAGCTTAGATTTTTAACTCCGGTTTTCTAATTTTACCTCCATAAAGGAAAAAAAAACACTTCTATTTAAATTCAAAATTGCAGACAATTTAATGACATTTCTCTTATCAAGTGTAAGTTCAACAAATGAAATAACATGCAGCCATAGTAACAGCTGTTATCGCTGAGTTCAGATAAACCACGTGAGCATGCTGAGACTTAAACAAAAGGATTGAGAAAAAAAATACATCACTCATATACACTAGCATTTTACATTCCACAAAAGGTACTGTCTTTTAGTAAGTGCAGTTACCCAATAATAACTGATGCTAAACATAAACAGTTATTAAAACAAACCAGGAGCTAATCAAACCACTGAATAGAGTTCTCTACGTTCATGTACCTTAAAAAATTATAAATAGAAAATTACAAAAATGTCTTTAAATAGAGCAACACAAAAGTATGTTGCCGGAAATACCTCATAATTTAGATCACGGATGGTCATGGGGGTAGTCAAATGCTTGTTGAGCATCAATTCATAAAAACTGATCTGAAAAATAATTGGTCCTGTGAACTAAAATAGAATTTTAAGGCTCACCCCCCCACCGGCTGACTAAACGGATCTCCTCGTGGCCAAAGGAATACCCTAAAACTAAAATTGCCTGCCAGGAGGAAGGAGGTCAGACATGCCTTATCATGCCCCCCTCCCTTCTTGGTGACATCCTTTATAACCCGCTAACAGGCCTAAGGGTATGCAAGACAAACCTGCAGGTCCTCAATTTACACAACAAATCTATGTCCAGTGGCTTATCTCTGATAAAGAGCTCCTTATGTTGAAACATTCCAAGCCTTTACACAAAGCTTCATGTCTTTAGCCAATTACAGGCCAAAGAATCTTTTAACCCACCTATAACCTGTAAGCCCCCGCTTCGAGATGGCCCACCTTTTCGGGCCAAACCAATGTATGCTTCCCACGTATTGATTTATGACTTCACCTGTAACCCTTGTCTCCCTAAAATGTATAAAACCAAACTGTAACCCAACCTCTGCGAGTCCACTGCTCAAGGCCTCTTGGGCGTGGCTCCGGGTCATGGTCCTCAAATTTGGCTCAGAGTAAATCTCTTTAAAATTACTTTACAGAGTTTGGTCTTTTTTTCCGTTGACAGTCCAAATATTGGTGGCTTAGGGAAGTCACTGCAATTTAGGAGGAGGGAATTTTAGGGTACTTAAGAAACTGAGGAGCTGGAGACTGCTCAGGAGATGATTAATATTGTCTAGAAGAGGTAGCTCTCAAAAGGATCCCTCAGTGATGACTGATAAAAGGACTAATGGAAAAAAAAAAAAAAGGACTAATGGTTTGACTCTTCAAAGACTAAGCAAACAATTAACTCTACAGAGCCTCCCTGGCTCACAAGAGTTGTTTCCTGAGTTCCTGTCTATGTTGGTTGTTTGGAAATTCTAACATATTTTGCCATAAAAACAAAAATATGAGAGATGGTACATTCTCTGGGAAGTCTGAGAATTTTCAAGTGAAATACCTATTGCAACAAAAAAAAATCATATTACTGTGAACTAAAATAAAACCTTAAGATTTCCCTCCCCCACCGCTGACTGAATGGACCCCCTCCTGGCCTAGGGGATACACTAAAACTGAGTTGCAGGCCAAGAGAGGGAGGTCAGACTTGCCTCATCATGCCCCCTTCCCTTCTGCAGATATACTTTGTAACTTATTGACTGGCCTAAGGCTATGCAAGACTAACCTGCAAAGTCCTTAATTTACACAACAAATACACGGCCAGTAGCTTGTCTCTGATTAACAGAGTTCCTTAACTTAATTTAAAACATTCCAAGCCTTTAGACAAGCTTCATTTTTTTTTTTTTTTTTGAGACAGAGTCTCACTGTGTTGCCCGGGCTAGAGTGCCGTGGCGTCAGTCTAGCTCACAGCAACCTCAAACTCCTGGGCTCAAGCGATCCTCCTGCCTCAGCCTCCCGAGTAGCTGGGACTACAGGCATGCACCACCATGCCCGGCTAATTTTTTCTATGTATTTTTAGCTGTCCAATTAATTTCTTTCTAATTTTAGTAGAGACGGGGTCTCGCTCTTGCTCAGGCTGGTTTCGAACTCCTGAGCTCAAACAATCCGCCCACCTCGGCCTCCCAGAGAGCTAGGATTACAGACGTGAGCCACCGCGCCCGGCCAAGCTTCATTTTTTTCAATCAATTACAAGTCAAAGAGACTTTAAACTCACCTATAACCTGTAAACGCCCCCCCTTGAGATGTTCCATCTTTTCACCTTTTTGGGTCAAACCAATGTATGCCTTCCATGTATTGATTTATGACTTTACCTGTAACCCCTGTCTCCCTGAAATGTATAAAACCAAACTGTAACCCAACCACAGCGAGTCCACTTGCTCAAGGCTTTTTGGGCATGGTTCTGGGACAAAGTCCTCAAATTTGGCTCAGAATAACCTCTTTAAATTATTTTACAGAGGTTGGCTTCTTTTCCATTGACATTACTATAAAGTAACAGAAATACATTTGCCCTATGTAATTGCTACTGTTTAAACACTTAACACAATAGTCTCCTGATACAATGCAATAACAGTTTTTTAAAAATGAAAATACTCACAATAATAACAGCCACCATCATAAAGCATGAAGCACTTTGGTCTGAGTGAAGCACTTTATACACAAAGTTCAACTGATCCTCACCACAATCTTGAGGGGTATTATTATCACTCTCATTTCAAAAAGGAAAAAATGGCAGCTTAGAGAT